TATCTCCTGCACCCTCCCCTCTGGGGATCATGCCAGCAACCTGGGCATGTTCCCTGACTGGGAATTGAACCTGTGACCTCCTGGTTCATAGGTTGACACTCAGCCACTGAGCCACACCAGCCAGGCAATGCTCACCAGGTACAAACAACCACCAGACACAATCCAGTATTCGCATTTCCAAAATTCACATTTCCTAACTTTGAGGATCCTATGACTTTGAAAAAAATAATGATTCCTATCTAGCTGATTTAACAATCTCAAGTAATTGCCTCCAAATATCACCAAAAATACTCTTTAAAAGTCTAAGAGTCTGTCAAGGGTTGCACATGATGTAAGCATGGGGAACAACCACTGTACTTAGATGTCAACATATTGACTACGGGCACCTAAAGTAAGAACAACACTGTGAGAGCAGAACCACATGGCCTTTTCCTTTCACAAAGAAGCCTCATGAGAGACAGATCTGAGGATACTGCGCTGCTGCTTTGAAGATGGAGGAAGCCAAGGGATGCAGCCTAGAAGCTGGAGAGGCCAAGGGCACGCTTCTCCCCTGGAGCCTCCAGAAGGACCTGGCCCTGCACACACCTGGCGGGAAAGGAAAAACAATGTGGGCGGTAATGCAAACTACATGCCAATGAAATGCATCACAGTCACTAAAGATGTCCTCTAAATTGGATCTGAGTAATCAGAGCTCAGTGGTTAGAGCCTCAGCCCACAAAGGGCTCACCCCTCTAGTGCAGGCAAGGTGAGAGGGAATTCTCACCATGTACAAGCACCAGGCACAATCCAGTCAGAGAACAGCTGACGGAGGATTCACCGTCCTGCAGCCTCGACTCCTCCCTCAGATACTCACATGCTGCACATTTCAACAGTTTTGATTGATGTATCTCTTTTGGCTTGATCGTCTCAAATCTGCTTAACAAATACATTAATAGTATAAATTACATAGTGAATAATACCCTGCAAAAGCAGAGGGAATTGCATCTAACCTCATAAACGAACTGGTTGTGTGAGGTTTCAAGGTACAAGGTAGGAGTGAGCACTCCCAGCAATAATAACAGTCCCCGTTTCCAAATCCCTTGTGACTTGTCAGGACTGCAGATACTAAGGATGTCCAACTGCAGCTTAGGCCTGCTTCCCGCTGGCAAGTGGACATCCCCTGGGCTGCCAGAGGGATGTCTGACGGCCAGCTTGGGCCCAATCCCCCAGGGAGCAGGCCTAAGCCAGCAGGTGGTCATCTCCCAAGGGGTCCCAGACTGCGAGAGGGCACAGGCTGGGCTGAGGGATCCCCCAAGTGCACAAATTTTTGTGCATCGGGCTTCTAATCTTAACTATATTTATACTGCATCTTCCAAATCACAATGTAAATATCTCCCCATTTATTTAGCTCATCTTTGATGTCTTTCATTCATTACTTATAGTTTCCTCATATACATCATGTACATGTTTTACTAGACTCATCCCTTAGTATTTCAGTGGAGGGATAAATGGTACTCTTTTTTAAATGTCAAATTCCCATTGTTAATGCTAGTGAATAGAAACATAATTTTGTGTGTGTTGACTTTGTATCCTATAACTTTCCCAATTTCAATGATTACTTCTAGGATTTTTTTGGTAGGTTTAAGGAGATGGCTTCAGTTCCTTGAGTTTGCCACAATAAGCCAGGATTGCGTGCAGCTAACCTTAACCTTAGTAGGACAGACTAACCTTCCTGGGACAAGAGAGCCTAGGAAGCTTATGAAGAGCAGCCACAACACTGTTCTCACTGCTTCTCTATCCTTCAGGGAAGCTGTCCTAAGAGCGTTTCTCCTTCTCGTCTCCCAGTGATGCCGGGTCTGAGGCTTCTACCTCTTGCCCATGGGGTTGAGCTTCAGGCTACAAAACTGCTCAGACACAAATGGCATTCTCTCCTAAGCAACAGGGTCCTGTCATCCTTGCTGCAGTCACCTGACCCCTTTGTTTGAGTGTCACCCTGTGCAAGGGGCAGGGGCAGCTGGCACCTCAGGCTAGTCTTAATTTCATTGTCTATGTAAGTATTAAACTGTCTGACTCTAAAGGGCTTGATGGGCCTGATCCATGTGGCTCATTTGGTTAAGTGTCATCCGTGCATCAGGAGGTTGCCAGTTTGATTCCTGGTCAGGGCGTATACAGGTTGCGGGCTCCATCCCCATTAGGGGCCTGGCAGTTGATGTTGCACTTTCACATTGCTGTTTCTCTTTCTCCCTCCCCATTTCCCTTTCTCTAAAAAAAATCAATAAACTATTCTTTAAAAAAAATAAAAAATAATAAAAAAATTCTAAGGGCTCCTTGTCTTGTTGAATCTATCAGCTGTGCCTCTGGCTCGACAATAGCTTCTGTGGGATTTTTATGTAGATAAATTAATTATACAGAAAATGAAGTCTCTAGTAATAGCTTATGATTTTGCTTCAAAGTCAGTTGTGCTGTTTATCATGGGCTTTCTATTTTAGTCAGGAATTCCTTGCCTGTAGGTTGAGAATTATGAATGAAGCCCCAAGCTCATTCATTTCGGACAGAGGTCTGTGCCCCAGCAGCTGTGCTGTGTAAATGGGAGGTGAGTCTCCATAGCTGGGACTCCTGTCAGGTGCATGGGCAGTCGGACACATTAAGGCAGCAGTTCTCAACCTGTGGGTCGCGAAACCTTGGCAGTCGAACGACCTTTTCAGAGGGGTCACCTAAGACCATCCTGCATATCGAATATTTACATTATGATTCATAACAGTAGAAAAATTACAGTTATGAAGTAGCAACGAAAATAATTTTATGGTTGGGGTCACAACGTGAGGAACTGTATTTAAAGGGCCAGAAGGTTGAGAACCACTGCATTAAGGAAACCTGCCAATGTATATACCAGTGATGGCGAACCTATGACACGTGTGTCAGAGGTGACACGCGGGTCAGAGGTTATATACCAACCCACACAGACACCCGCCAAATTAAGAGAGGAGGGCTGATATACATGAATGCATGGACCACTCATGAGGAAGTACTGCACATACACTTAAGGGGAGGGAGTCCCTCCACTAGCCATGAGCTTTACAAGGTCTGAAAGTCTCTGCCCCATCTCTCTTTCATCTCCCCCACGTACTCACTGTGACATGGAAGGGAGTCAGCAGAGACAGAGAGGCCATGGAATAACCCACTTATTATCTCGTGGCAACAGTGATGGTGCCATAAAATATCAGTGAGAAACCTGGATGGAGCCTTTCTTTGGACCAGGCACTCTACAAGATGCTCTTTCAGTCAGTTTTATGAATCCCAGAGATCTCTACCTTTTCCTTTTTTATTCTCCCTACCAGGGTTTCTGCAGCCCCTTCTCTTCTTCTAGATCACACTGCAACTTCATAATTTCCCTTTAAGAACTCAGAAGAATTATAGACAGTAAGGGTCTGAAGGTGGATTATGTGTGAGAAGTGTGGGAAGTCTAGGATGAGCCAGCATTTGTTGGTGATATGCCAACAAGTCTTTGCTAACAGGGTTTCCCTTGAGCCATGTTCAATTAAAGACATACCACAACTTAGAATGGTTCCTAAGTAATATTCACCCTGAGGCTTTGAGATATCTGAGAAGATGGAAGTCAGTTGTAATTGGTTCAGGAACAATTAATTAAAATGTTTTTTTCTTCATGCAACTATGACTCTTCAGGCCCCTCCCTTTCTGGCAGCCCTGCCCTTCTGTTGTAATGTGAATATATAAGTCAGAGTATACGGTCCCACACCCAGTCCTCCTGCTACTCTGCCATCAACTACTCTGGAGGGTCATCAAGAACCATGGTGCCCAGAAGCTTTGGTAAGAGGATACCAGCCCCAAGTCTAGCGTATGTGTTATCACACCCGTAGTGTACCTCTGAGCCCCAAACTTAATTCTCTTTCCTAGTCAATTATTGGCTTCTTCTATCCCGTAACCCCCCTGTGACATGTCTGACTGCATTACAATTTCTCCCCCAATCTGCAAATTTCAGAATCTTAGCTCTTCCCAGAGCCCTCCCTGCTACCCAGAGTCCATCTCAAAATCCACTCTGAGCTGTTGACAATGAAAGAAGCTCATTTGCATCATCTTGGGACCCATGACAGTGGCTAGAAGGCTACTCTCCAGCTTTATTCTCATTCTCCTTCTGCTTCTCAGCTGCCGTCTTCATTTTTGAACTCCTATTCTCAGACTTAGAAGGCCTCACAGGTGAGAGTGGTGCAGGGAGGAGGAGGGCTCCAAGGTCTAAGACCAGTCCTGGAGCCCATTCTGCTCTGGCTTATTCAGATACTGGGCTGTGGATGTGCCATCCAGCACCTAGGCGTGGGGACCAGATCTACAACCCCTTGGAGCAGTGCTGTGATGAGGGCACCGTCCTGTCCCTGAACCACACCCGCCTCTGTGGCCACAGCTGCACCTTCTGGCCCTGCTTCCAGCACTGCTGCCTTGAGTCCTGGGGCTCTCAGAATCGGGCCACTGTCAGGTTTAAGGTCCCAGGCACAAAGTCCAACTGCATTGCCGCCCCACTCAGCCTCTCTCTCTGGTTTATAGGTAATATGCTCCTGGGCCTAACTCCAAGGGCAACGGAAGGAGAGTTTGGGGGTCCAAGAGCTCTGTGGTTCCATTTCTTTGTCTGAACACCACCACCTGCCAACAGTGCAGGACCACATGGCAGAACCCAGTGCTCTGTCAGGCAACTCAGACACTGTGTGCCCTTTGCCACTGGCCCTGCTGGGCTGTACCCTGCAGCTCTCTGTTCCTCCCAGCCAAAGGAAATTTCTGCTACATCCCACTCCCTCTCTCTCCAGGTCCGGCCATGAGCTTCCAGCTGCAGGGCTGCTTCTCTGGACCTTCTGCATTTTCCTCCCTTCTCCTCTCCCCGTTTATTCTCAGTTGTCCACTTTTAGATGGGTCAATGCCTGGTTTCCTCAGGCATGGGCCTGTTGAGCAGCGATTTCTTTGTTGAATTATAGTTAACTTGTTATTTCAATGGAAAAGTTCAAGTGCTCTCGCTTGCTGCCAATCCTCTGAAGTAATTCAGGTCCTTTGCATTTCAATGCAAGTTGTAGGATTAGTTTGTTAATTTCTGAAGTCTTCCAATTTATGAACATGGATTCATTCCAGTTTGTTTATGTATTCTCTTCACTTTCTTTCAACAATGTTCTGTTGTTCTCAGTTTACAACATTTGCACTTCTTTTGTTAAGTTTATTCATAAGTATTTAATTTGGGTTCTATTGTAAATAGAATTATTCTCTTAATTTCATTTTCAGATGGTCTTTGCTAGTGTATACAATTGATTTTTATATGTTGATCTTGTATCTTACAACCTTGCTGACTTTTTCAGTTTGTTCTGCTGGGTCTTGGTAGCTTCCTTAGAATTTTTAACATACAAGATCATGTCATTTGCAAATAGAAATAGTTTTACCTCTTTTCCAATCTGAATGCACTCTATTTCTTTTCTGGCCTAATTTTTCAGGCTCAAACATCCAGTGCTCGGTTGAATAGAGTGGTGAGAGTGTCCTGCTCTTGATGCTAAAGGGAGAGCCTTCAGTCCTTCACCATTTAGTATGATATGTCGTGAGCTTTACTGTGGGTACCCTTCATCAGTTTGAGGAGGTTCTTTTCTATTAACAGCTTGTTCTATGTGGTAGTTTTTAAAAGATAGTCATGTTATTGCATCTATAAAAACATTCATGTCCCATACTTTTGAACTTCATCTCTCAAACTTCATCTGCAGTCATGGTGCCAGAAGCTGAAATACAGGAGAGCTACAACTCCAAGACCTAGTCAAGCCAAATCATATCCCCAAAAGCAACCATGCACCCTAATTCTCCCCCTGTAACCTCAGCTTCCTTCATCCTTCCAAATCACTTTATTGACACCTTTAATACCTGCTCTGACCTTCTGCCAACTGGGAAACTTCACTGCATTCTTACAATTGTAACATATGGTTCAAAGAGTTCCCCCTCTCCCCATTCTCTCCCCTCAAGGGATCCAGTATGTTTAGGCCCAGATTTCTGGGCTCTTACCTGTGTCAGGAACTAGACCCTATGCAGAGATGATCCCAAACTCAAATCTTTAAAACAAATCTGGAACTAAGCCTTCTCCACACTGGCCTGCCCTCCCTGGGGTCCACAACCCCAGCCTCGGCTTTAACCCTCCTTCCTTCTTCTCCAGGTTTCAACAGCATATTAGCCTTCCTCCTCCTCCTCTTGTGCTTAAAGTCAGGTGAGTGCAGGGTGGAAAGAATGAAGAGGGATGAGACTGCCCTTGGGAAGTGGTTTAAAGAGGATCCTGATTCAGGGCATGGGGATAGTGCCTGGTTCTCCTTGAAGTCACCAGCAATTTCTGTCCAGGGGCCCACATGAACTCCGGCCTGTGGCTGTGCCAGCAAGCACCCAGATGTGGGCACCGGATGTACAACCCTGAGGAGCAATGCTGTGATCATGACACCATCTTGCCCCTCAACCGGACCAACCTCTGTGGCCCCGGCTGCAAGTTCTGGCCCTGCTTTGAGCTCTGCTGTCCCGAGTCGTTTGGCCCCCAGAAGAGATTTGTTGTGAGACTGAAGGTTCTGGGGATGAACTCACGGTGCCCTACCTCTCCCATCTCCAGAGCCTGTCCTAAGTAAGGACCTGCCTCACTCAAGATGACAACAGGACAAGGGGGCTAAGGTAAGGATGAACTCTGGAGGCTGGGGCCCTCCAGGATAGGGATTCCAGTCCTGCATCTCCCCTCCCTCTCCATCTCTGCGTCTCTCCAAAACTGCTCAGTCTCCATCTCTTTCATTTTCTGCAGCTTATGAGGGACAACCCAGCCATCCTATTGGAACCTTGGAACATCTGGCTAAAAGCACACACCCTAACATATGAGAAGAAATGGGTGGGTGGTATGGTTTTCAAATGATAAAACCATGTCTTAGATTCTGGTGAGGTTAGATGTGTTCTTTCTGAATTTCCTGTGGCAACTTGCTGAGGAATGATTACACAGTAACTTCTCTCTGCTCCTAAAGCCCCCCCTGCCCACAGCAATCAGTGTCTCCTCAGTCAGCCTAAGTACCCTCTCTATACTCTGGGTCAGGGTTCTTCTCTTATCAAGGGGACAAGGAGTGAGGATGGGGAGGTGGATAGTCCTCCCTGTGGGGGAAGATGACCCAGCCCCGAGCCACCTTGTGGTTCCTGCACCTGCAGCTCCTATGGGAGGTGGGGAGGATGGAAGCTGCCCCGAGGAGCTGGAGCATTGCTGGGTTAAATGATAAACATCTAAATATTTTTAAATAGTATACAATACTCAAACATTGGTTGCTAGACACAATTTAATTCACCTGCTCTTAGTTTTTATTACAGATGGTCTCTTGTACTTTGTTGAATGTATATTTTCTTGATAGGAAGTGTGTTGTTAAATGTCAATCTAAGAAATGTTGGCTGTTTACATTTTGGTTATCATTGAAAAATTAAGGTTTCTAAGAGTGAAGAATCCTAATATATTTTAAAGAAAAAAGAAATAAAAGGCCTGTACAAGTTGCTGAAGGTATGACAGAAAGAAAGAATATTAGAGTAGAAATACTTAATGGAAGGTCTGAGGCATGGTTATGCATTTTTGAAGGACATAGAAAGAAGGTTTGAAGGCTAATTTGAAACTGTGAAATTTGTGAAGGTTGCATATGTGATGAGAAGAAAACGAGAAATGTTGAAAGAAAGAAATAAGTTCTAAAGTTAACTATTTACAAGAATTATAAAAGGGCCAGTTTACTCTGATCAAGAAAGTAAGGTTTCAGTCTCGAAGCCTGGCAGGACAAGGTTGCTGGATACTTCTTAAGCTAAACCAGAATATTCAGCAGCAGAATTTAAAGATAAGAGTGTGCATAATGCCTCAGACCACCATCCAGCCTGCTCTTCAGATTGGCTGGGGTGGCGGGTGGGTGGGGTCTGTACTTAATGGGTCAAATGTATAGGTTTGCTTACTTTGCTTTTCAATAAAGGAGCATACTTTAATTACTTGATAAGTCAGCTTTTCACAATATAATCAAGGTCTCATATAAACTCATTCATGTGAGAAGCCAATATTTTATGAACAACTGGTTCTAGTAAAGTCCAAAGTAAAATTTGCACTTATATGCAGATGAGCACTAGCCAAAAAAGAATGCTATTTAGAAGTAAATTTAAGCTTAAAAAGACGAAAAAAGAAGAAATGTAAAAATCTCTTCCACTACTATTTACCAAGTAAATTAAAAGTTATTATTGAAGCATTAAATCTCTCCATTAATGAGACACCATCTACACTAATAAAAGAGAAAAATGGTAATTGGCGTACGATGCTACCCTTTTCATTGGCTAATCAGGGCTATATGCAAATTAACTGCCAACTCAGATGGCAGTTAACTGACAACAAAGATGGTGGTTAATTTGCATATGGAGGCACAATGCAGGGAGGCGAAAGGGAAAGCAGGAAGAAGCCCCCTGCCACTGACAGTGAT